TCTAAAGCATCTGATCCTAAATACATAATTTTGTATCACATTCCACAGTACTACATAGAAATCTGTTTTATAGCTCATAACTAATCTAAACCTGAGCCATGAACCTCTTTGTAATTTTCCAATCTTTTACTTTCATATGACTTACTATGCATATATACGTTATTCAAATCATTTTTTTTAACTTCTGCCTCCATAATTCTAGGCTCCCAAGTAAACAAAGCCCTTAGGAAGACTTGGTTTGTCATTACAAACTCAATGTATATTGGTTGAGTCAAATCTGAACTGTGCCTTAGTTTCCTCCTCTATAAAAATGAGGAAAACTACATTTATCCTTTGCTATCTCGCAGGGTTATTGCAAGGATTAAATAAGAATTCCAAAAACTGTAAAGCATAATGCAATGTAAGATATTATGATAGATACTTTGAACTAAAAAACAAAAGTATTTGTATTCAAAGTACCAAGAAATTAACTTTGTCATATAAGCTTACAAATTTTAAGTTTAAAAGAACGGGATCTTAGGTGACATGATTCAGGTAGGCTGGAGAAAGGAGTATATCCTTGAGAGAAATAAGAGGCATCCAACAACAAAAACCTCTGAAGTGATATGATCCACATTATTCTCATTTTGGAAGAAAAATTAATTAATAATGGTGTATTAGGGTGCCTGGGTGGCTCAGTCGGTTAAGTGTCTGACTCTTGGTTTCAGCTCAGGTCATGATCTCAGGGTCATGAGAAAGAGCCCCATGTTGGGCTCTGCCCTGGGCTGGGAGCCCGCTAAAAATTCTAGCTCCCTCTGCCCCTCCCTCTACTTGTGCATGCTTGCTCACCTTCTCTCAATAATAACAACAATAATAATTATACTGGTTTATCATTTACTTTGGTAAAATGTTAAATCATTATAATAAATGTATTAACTTGTAAATACATTTGATACTTATATTTTAACTGATCCCTCACTTATCATGTTGTTAAATTTTATTTTTTTCATATTACATAACAAAAATTGTCCTATATCAAAAGTCCAAACTCTTAATTTCAGCCAACTACAGCTCCATTCCCCTTCCACCTCCATGAGGCCCCCCAAAACAATGAACTGGTATAAACAGGAATTGTGTTTCTCTCTCTTGGGTTAACCTTATACACTAAACAATAAAATAACTTAAAGCTTAGGAGAAAGAGGGGGGAAAAGGAAAAAAAAAAAAGGTTTCTCAGAGCTTATAATCTAGATCAGGGGTTGACCTGTTTCTGTAAATGCAGTTTTGGAACACAGCCATACCTATATTATCTAGGGCTGCTTTTGCTGCAATGGCAGAGAGGAGACAGAAACAACAAATGCAGCTGACTCTTTTACAGAAAAAGTCTGCCAAACACTGAACTAGACAATCAATACTGAAAAGAAAACAAATTCCCAGTAAGTCAAAATGTTTTCATTTATAATAAGATTTATGCTTACTCCTATCAGATCTAGATGACTCTTATTTTGGTTCTGCTGGGAGTTGGTCTATCGCACCACTTGCTACCATCCCCAGTACTACTATCCTGGTCTAAGCCACCATCTCTACCCCAATGGATTACTGCAAATGTCTCTTGTTTGATCTTGCTGTCTCACTCAAGCCACTACACTTTATCCTCAAACACAGCAGTCAGTTTAAAAACTTGTCATGTCATTTCTCTCCTCTGCTCCAAACCTTGCAATGACCTCTCATTTCATTCAGAATAAACGCCAAAGTCCTTACCATGGCCTATAAGGCTTTACTGGCCATTGTATGAAAATTATTTTTTACATCATCTTTTATTACTCTCCCCTTCCCTCATTCCCTCTTCAGCTGAACTAGTTTCCTTCCTGCTCCTTGAACAAAAAGCCAGGAATACTCTGCATCAAGTCTTTTATAATGGCTATTCTCACTGCCTAGAACACTCTTCAGATAACTGCATAACTAACTCAGTTGCTTCTAGTGTTTGCTCAAATCTCCTCTTAAAATAAGGCCTAGCCACACCACCCCATTCCACAACTCCCTATTTCTTTACCTTCTAACTATTACATGTACTTCATTTGTGCTATGCTTATTATTTGTCTGCCTTCCCATCCTACCTACCAAGTCTAACCTGCAGAGGCCTAGGAACACCGATATAGTTTGTGGGAAAGGGGCGAGGATAAATGGTGCTTCTGAATAAGAGGTAGAAAATACGCACTTTTCTTAAAAAATGATCACAGGCAATTGAGCAGGAGGGAAGGAGGCAGGAGTAGAGACTCAATTTCCAAGTTAGAAAATAACAACTGCAAATCTTTAAATTATGTGACTTACTGTCTTTCAAAGAAAAACTGGCAAAAAAAAAAAAAAAAAACCCACACAAACCAAAACCCCATAAAACCCTGTTTTTTTCCGCAAAGAAAAAGGAATTGCAGAAGAGAATTATCTAAAACTGCCAAATGAATTAAACTATGTGCCACTTCTGTGGCTCACTGATTTCACGTATTATCTGAAACTGCCAGATCAATTAAGAAAAAAACCCAACTCTGTGCTGCAGCAACTCCTGCAGCTTGTTTTAATGTATCAAAAAAAAAAAAAAAAATTTAATGTGATCAACATGGGTTCATAAATGGAATATGCCTCAACATAATTTTACAAATATTTACCCTAAACATCTTACACTTTAACTTGCTTCCAAAAACTTGTAAGATTACAGTTGTCAAAGCACAGTTACAGACTAGAAAATAGAGCCAAAGTTGGTGTCACATTACAAATGCATTAAAGCAAATGCAGCAAAGCAAGGTCTTGTGCCTATTCTCATAATCCCAAATGACTGCCAAAGCAATCTTTAGCAATGATTTCTGTCTCTAAATGAATAAATGAATACAACAGTTAACGTCGCAAAGCCAGTAACAACCTTCCTCTGATTCAGAGGTGGTAACTTAAAAATACATATTTGGTCACCTGAAAATCTTGATCAGTGTAAGACCATGAGGAATTATATATCCACAATATAAACATACTCTAAAAAGAAAAAAAAAATCCTTTATTTTTAAATGGCAATGACTGAATGAATCTTAAGGAACTTCTTGTGGCACAGCATTTTCGAATGTCATTATAAAGTTGTATTTTAAATAATGATCATGTATCCTCTATGCTTCAATATAAAATAAAAGTAAAAAAATAATGATTATTCATCAAATAAACAATTTCTTGTAATTGTCAGGTCACGGCTAGAGAGTGATCTTTGGCTTAGCCTACAATTAAACGCTTTTTAAATTAAGTCTTAAGAACCTCCATTGTCTTGAGTGTTTACTGTATGTCAGATATCGTGCTAAGTGCCTCAATGGACTTACATGCCTTCAATCCTCACAACGACCCTGTAAGGTTGACACTACTATTATCTGCATTTTACAGAGAAGGAAACTGAGGCTTAAGTAAATTAAACAACTTGAATCTGGAACCAAAGCACACCTGTTCCAAAGCCTTCTCTTAACCATTATTAGAATGGCCTCTGAATTCTCCTGGAATCTGCACCACAGCATTAACATAAACAAGGCTGAATACTATCTTATTCTATGTTGTAAAAGCTTAATTAATGCTAACTACTTACACAGGAAGTAAATTTTTTCTTAATCCTTCACAGCCTTGTGTACTTCTGGGCTGTTCACTATTAGGATAAATTAAGTCAAAGTAGAAAGTAAGCTTTTTAAAATCTGCAAATGCAAGAGCCCAAGATTTCAGAAAATATTACTTCAGTGACGTAATTAAAATGTGTAAAAAGAACCAAACTAATTACATGTTAAGGTTTGGAAACTCAAAGGAATATAGTGCTGTATTAGGAACTGGGAGCCTTGTAATTCACTCCCATTCTATAAATTTGTGCAACTTTGTCCTGTTTAGCCCCACCACTCATCTTCCTGATCAGCAAAAAAAGAGTGATGGACTAAATAAGCTGACTGTAATACATTATGAGTCTAATTTTACCAGCTCTTAAATGAGGCATATCTGGGAGAGGAAGGGATTTACTTAAACCCCGAATTTTTGTTACAAAATACACACTATGAGGTAGGAACTTGGATTTACTATGCTAAAATTGCCCCAAATCCTTTGAGAACAGGTATTCTCTAAATAAATGATTTAATAATAAGAATGAGTAACTATTATTTACTGGCCTGTGATGTTTTACATACTTACATTACCAATCCTTCGGACTCCAAAGGCTCTTAACCTCACTTAACTTCACCAGTCTTTCTGAAGTCACCTTAAATAGTGTGCAATGTTGTGTTTTATTATAATTTCAGAATCACAGATAATTGCTAGCATCAAGTACCTAACGCAGGGCCTGGCACAGTGCAGAAATTCAATAAATGGTAGTTTTTATTTCATTAGTATTCGTATTAATAAAACTTCTTACATAACTCAAAATCCTGTCTGGATAATTAGACCAGCACAGAAAGTGCTATGATCCACATTTCCCTTTTAACTGTAATATATACTAAACCATCTCAAAGCCCGGGATGCTTTGGGTCAAGAGAGCACCTGATGGCAAGCCACACGATATTCATACACCGAGGACTACGGCTAACCACGTAATTAAAATACAAACAACAGAGCTGCTTTCTGGAATTAGCCACTTTGACTTTCCCGTGGACTTCGCTCTCTCCAAAATTAATCCAGACACAAACGTCAGGAAGCCTTGTTCGTGGGTAATGACTCAGGGGGCCGCAACACTTCCCGAGAAACTGACACCGGGGCACCGAGCGCACCCTCAGTGTCGCACACTGCAGCCCAACAACCAGCCCTGCTCTCCGGCCGGAGGGCAGCCCAGGGAGCGGCAGAGGCGCTTCGGGGCTTTAGCGTAACCATTTAGCTGTTACCATTCTCCTACCCAACCACTCCCCCCAAGGCAGGCAGGGCGTTTCTAGAAAGTCCAGTTTCAGAACTGAGCAGGGCAACCGGGACAGAGTGCGGGGCAAGACAGGGGGCACAGCAAGCGGCTGGAAGTCAGAGCCCAGCCAGGGTACCTTGCGTCCAGCGGCAGAAGATGGTGTCAGAGAGACCGGGGCTGCTCTTGGTGCCCCACACCAGCTCCATCAGCTCTTTAGTCAGTTCGGACATGATGGGGTACCGGCGAGCGGGTCTTCGCTTTCAGGACTCCTGCCCCGGAACATGGGGAAGGGGCGCCTTCGGAGACAGGAGTTGCGGGACGGCAGCGGCAAAAGAGCTCGGGGGTCGGACGCGAGGAAGACGAAAGGAGAGAGATCTACTTGCAAAGACCGCCTGTCAAGCCAGCCAAAGCGGCAGCAAGGAGTTTCCTGTACCGGAAGTGCCGGGCCACTTCCGGCTCCCCTTTCGCTACCGCCCCCCACGCCAGGAGGGCCCCGGAGTCACCTCCCCGGAAGCGGAAGTGGGGGGGCAGGAAGAGCTTCGGACCTCTCGGGAGGTCGCCCGCCTTCCTGAGCTCAGCCCCGGGCCTTAGGTGGGGTGGTACCTTTTGTGCTGGCGGACACGCCGCGTTCCCTGGGCGTTGGCATGTTTTTTACCATCCAGGAACACCTTCCTCGGCGCACTGCCGTGGTCTTAGCTGTAGGCTCTGAGGACCAAACCTTAGGGCCTGAACATAGCCTAGTCTTTAAAATTTGTAATATTAGTTATACTGAACTACACTCTAAGACGATGGTTGGGTCTCAGCGAGGAAACATCCATGTTTGTGTGGAGAGCCACCAATAACGTAAAGGCTGTCAGCCTGTATGCCTCGATAAATCGTATAAAGTCTAGCCAACTATTATATACATTACCGAAGGGTGTGGTGTAATGTGCATTATAGAAATATCTCTGCAGGATGTAATGCAGAATTACAAAGCTATTTATAGGGAAACAGATTCAAAGCAGCCTGTAGTGGTAACTTCTCTGTAACTTGCTTATGACCGTTACCTTCATCCTAGTATTTGCAAAGAATTACTTAACTCATCCTAGTATTTGCAAAGAATTACTTACTTATACTACGGATATAAATTTATGGAAGTCAAGGGCTTGTCTTATTCATAGTACCTAGTATGGTGCATTGAACATTGCTGGATCAATAAGTATTAGTAGAAGGAATGATACTTGCCTTTACTGGAATTTAAAAATTCATTATCTTTCAGCATGTGAGGGATCAGGGGAAGTAGTACTGACTGGTCCAGTTAAATATCTAATGTTTGCTTGGTGGTTTACAATTTATAGGTTTATTTCACTTCCTGCAAGACATAGAAGGGTCTATGTTCATAGAGGATGTAAGTGGCAGACCTCTAAGTTCAGAGGTGTTTGCTGCAATTGTTTTCTTTCCATTACTATACAGGTAGTTATAGATTGGATTAACTATCTATAGATATGGGGGAAAAGGGCTAAACTTCCAAAATGTAATTTTAAAAATAGAATATTTCTTGATCTGTGATTTTTCTAAGTTTCCAGCTACAAAGAGCTGGCAAAATCTGTCCTTTCCACTTTTAGGTTGTATTCTTTATTTGCAATGTTTAAGATTTTTTAATTAGCAGGGCATATTTTTAACAAGGAATATTTGATTAATGTTAAATTATTTATGTTGTTTATTTCATTAGTTATAACATCTAAAATGTGAACTTGCTTAAATACAATAGAAATGCAAATTAATATTTAAAATTTTCTTATTCACTGTATATAAACATAATACATATTGAAAGCAGTCAAGTTTGTTGCATTTATATCTGGTACAGGACAATAATGCCTTTCTCTTACCAAAATAACTTGAAAATTATATAAATTTACCTTGAAGTATGTATATTGCTCCATATTTTAGCACATATTTATTTCTTAGTACCATCTATGTGTATCATTAAGATGTACACAGGTTGCATGAATGAGCTTTAGTCCTAAAAGAGAGTCCTAAAAAAATCAGAAACTTTCTGTTCATATGTAAATTTTATTAGTAATATTTCCCTTTAATTCAAATTCAAGTCAGTGCACAGCCATAAAACTGGGCTGAGATTTCCATCATGATTAATTCCCTTGAGCCTTCTTTACTACTTCACAGCAACAGAATTAATTACTCCATCAAATCCTAACTCTGTGTTTAGTTTCCTGTCTTTCCCAGAAATTCTCTGTCAAACAAAGCACAATGACTTCATTACCTGGTTCCCAGCAACTACCATGGAAAGAAGAATTCTCCAACTGGAAGCCCTCAAACACCCAATTTAGTGTATTTACATTCCATTTACCTAAGCAAAATCAGATCTTTAAAAAACCTACCCTACAATATGATTAATACATTCTAGGCAAGTTACTCAAACAATCCCATAACTCACTTACTAATAAAACTATTTTTTAAAAAAGATTTTATTTATTTATTTGACAAAGAGAGACACAGCGAGAGAGGGAACACAAGCAGGGGGAGTGCAAGAGGGTGAAGCAGGCTCCCCGCTGAGCAGGGAGCCCGATGCGGGGCTCGATCCCAGGACCCCTGGATCATGACCTAAGCCGAAGGCAGACGCCCAACGACTGAGCCACCCAGGTGCCCCATAAAACTATTTTTTAATATGCCCTACATCTTCCAATAACAGCATAAATCTATCAAACAAGTGAAATTCTTTCCTTTGCATTAGCCTGACGTCATCTCAGCAGGATAATTTTCCTACTAAGCATTTAAACCCACCATTGTCATTCTAAAATATGGCATAGTGCATCATTTCCCAAAGCATCTTCTACTAGCATTAATACATGCTGGAAAAGGGGTTCTATCATTAAATTCTGGGTTAAATAAAGTTAATTGTTCACTGCAACTCAGAGAGAGGATTGTGTTCAGGGTTAAAAGTCATTTGAACAATTTTATTCACTGAGCTTCTCACATAGTTTATGTTCTGCAGAATACTGTTTGAGAATCACTGGTATAATGGAATAGGCTTTTGATTGGAATGAGAAAATATGAATGTTATGAATATGAATATGATTAAGAGGTATAAACTTAAATTTAAAAAAAGAAAATATGAATGTTACTTATGTGAGTACTAACTGTGGCCTTGGATGAGTCATTTTAACTATACTATTTTTTTATCTATAAATTAAAAGAACTACCTTTAGATAATCTCTTAAAATGTCATTCACTTCAGATTCTGTCCACTTCTATGATTTAAAAAATTGTCTGCTAAGAAGTTAAGATATATGGTAAGAGTGAGAAGAAAAAGAATGTCGAGCATATAGAATAAACAAATAATTTAGCATTATTCTTCACTAACACATTATTCTTCACTAACCACTAAAAGAGGTTATTTGCCACTTAACACTTACTTGTGCTAACATTATGGAATGAGAAGATTAAGTCCCAAATTGTATGTTAATCCAAGACTGGCTATATTAAATAGGTACAGAATATTTGCATACTTGGATGTGTCATAGGCACCTTGCACTTGCTATGTGTCAAATAAAACATCTTTTTCCATAAAACCTACTCCTTTTTCAATGTTTCATAATCAGTGAATAGTACCATCCTCTACAAACAAGCACATTTTTCAGTGTTCTCAATTTTGATAGGATGAATAAACAACCTCTTTGAGGCTCAGTTGCCACATTCATAAAGGAAGGTCATTAATAATAATTACATCATATAATGATTATGAGATTTAACAGAAAACATCTTATGTAAAAGAAATATGCAACTGAAAAATACTAATCTTATGTTAGCTATGTTAAGGGCTTGAACAAAGTACCATAGGAGCAAAGATGGAAGATGAGTTATTTCTGCATTTGAGCGGGAATTTTGACTAGAGAAGAAAGGGAGGACGCGCATTTTTGACACAAAATACTATTATGGCAGGAGCTTGGCATTTGTATCACTAGAAAGAGATGAGTCAGGAATGTCAGGTTAAGGAGGGTGCCATAGACTGAATTGTGTCCCCTCCGAATCCATATGTTGGATGGATTACACCCTCAGTGTAACTGTATTTAGAGACTGTTCCTTAAAAGAGGTAATTAAGTCAAATGAGGTCATAAAGATGGGGCCCTAGCCCAATGGTGTCCTAATAAGAACAGGAAGACACCAGAGATCTCTCTCATCCCACATGCACAGAGACAAGAGGCTATGTGAGAACACAGTAAGAAGGTGGCTGTCTATAAGCCAGGAGGAACCATTAACCAGCCCTGATGGCACTTGGATCTTTGTACTTGCAGCCTTCAAAATTGTGAGAAAATTAATTTCTGCTACTTAAGTCACCCAATATTTGGTATTTTGTTATAGCAGTCTGAGCAGACTAATATAAAGGGCCAGAATCTTAATAACAGTGAATACTATCTTACATAGTTAAGCAGCTAATATTTATTGACCACATTTTATGCCAGTCACGGTACTAAGGAATTTACATGTATTACAGTATAGAACCCTCACCATTCTGAAAAAAGTACTACAGTGATCTCTTAGGAGGGTAAAAACTTTGCCCTGAGTCATGCAATACATGGAAAACTAGGATGCAAATCCGGATTTTTCTGACCCAGAACCTGTACTGAAACAAAAAGTTCAGAACACAGGCGGTTTGATTCCAGAGCCTGTGGCCTTTAATACTACTCAGTTCTTAATAGTATGGACTTTACTCTAAACATAATAGGAGCTAGTTAAGATTTTTCAATGGTGTAGTAATAACATCATCCTTGTAATTATAACTGGCAGTATGCAGTGAGGACAATGATTTAAAATGGGAAAGCCTGGAAACAGCTAAACCAGTTAGGAAGATACTGCAATAATCCTTGAAGAGATGCTTAGGACTTAAAGTAGAACAGTATTAGTGGCAATTTCAGTGAGGGGCAAATCCCTTGGACACTTTAGAAGTAGAATGGATAAAACTTGGTGATTTACTATGAAAGGAAGGGGACATTAAAAATTTAATAAAACTTAACTATGCTTAAATACAAGATTAGCATCTCTGTTGATCAGAAATAGAATAGAAACACAAATGGGGATCAAAGCTATAGGTGGGCTTGGTTCCAGATATGGAAACAGGAGTAAATAAGTAGGAGTTTGTCTTCCGAAGGCTGAAGTTTCCTGAAGCTACTACCTAGAAACTGGATTTGAGGAGGCTGACCCTGCTCCAGAAAGCAAGCTATGACCACTGTATTATACTGTGTTCCTGGTAATAAAGAGGGTGTAGGAGAATAAGTAGATCTAAAGAGAACAGGGAGGAAGTGTATTAATTTTCCATTGCAATCATAACAAATTACCGCAAAATTTAGTGACTTAACAACACAAATGTATTTCCTTAGTTCTGAAGGTCATATGTCCGACAAGGGTCTCACCAGGCTAAAGCTAAGGCTATTCTTTCTATAGGCTTTGGAAAAGGTTCATTTCCTTG